ATTCTGGGAGCTGGATAAAAAAAAAAAAAAAAAATCAATCATCAAATCTGATTCTGGATCACATTTGAAATAATACAATGCATGACACACCTGCATCGAAAGAAAAAAAGTGTTATAAAACATTGCACAACGATCATGGCTCTATTTTGATTATGTATGGTAGTCGTTCATATTAACAAAAAGTGATTGCACACATACATCGTGACTGAGCTTGCAGTGGATTACTTTTTTGAGCCAGTGGGTGATTGTCGTTCTGTCAATTTCTATTGTGCAAGGTGCCGTTTATCCTGAACTGGCAAGTGGGGACATTGTTTTAATCATGTGACTTTTTAAGCATTGCGTTAAGTGTACGTGTACATCTTGCCTTGGCTGGATGAGCCGCCCATTTCTGGTATTCCGCCCTCTGTCCCGTTGACCACCTCATCCTCTGGGAAATTAATGTTCTCCCTTGACTGGCTATGACGTCTGGAAGAGGAAAACGTGACAATCCATTAATATATTTAGGTGAAGCCAAAAAAGGCTGTACTATTTTACTGATGCTATGCATACTCACAGGCCAAACAACATGTCGTGTAGTCCTGTGAAAAGGCAAGAGGGGAAACTTGAATTCGGTACATTGAGCTCAGCTAAAGCACGAACTTATATGTGAGTGAGACTCACGAGGGTTGTTGTTGCGGTTGCGGAAAATGTACATGAGCAGCAGCACTGTGGCGATGGCTGCAAAAAGCATCCCGCCTATGGCTGCGCCGATCACAGCAGGGTAGTTGTTGGAGCGCGGCTCGGCTGCAACAGAGCATATTTGACAAATTGCAGCAAATCTTACATAATAATCACACATACGTACAGTGTATATATATTTGTAATCTTTGAAAATGTTTTAAAGGATTTAACGATTTAACAGATTTTCTCAACTAGGCATGATCTGATTGTAGATTTGCATGTTGACTAATCCTCGCTTACACCGTTTTTTTTTGAGGACTGCATATTAATCAGGTACAAAAAAGGCATCCATGTCAATATGGAGTTATCCCTGTGGCTCTCTCTCATCCCCTCTTGTTTGATGTGTGTAACTGCTCACTCCCCTCTCTGCTCAGATGAGAAAAAAAGTGACTTGCCTCTGTCATTAACTTCAAAGAGATTGTTCCTCCCTATTTCTATTCTTAATGAAACATTTAAGTGAGCTGAATTTCGCTGACCTATGATGATTATAGCTGTAAAATTCTGGGGATTTTCGAAGCGGTATAATTCACTGTGGAATTAATCGAAATGCATTGCTATTTTACAGGAAATTGTTATTCAGACACAATTAAACAAAACCCTCTAAACTCTGCACAATGACCAGCAATCACCAGGCAAGATTAGCTGTGGTTTAGAAGAAAGAGTAGCACACGGCAAGTAGAATGAAAGGAGAAGGGAAGGCAAACAGAAAGTTAGTGTTGCGTGTGTGTGTGTGTGTGTGGGGGGGGGGGGGGGGTTGGGGGGGGGGT